AGATGTATCTCCTGCATTAAACAAAATGATTGCTGAGCTCCAGTTTTTCTAGTATTTTGCAGAAAGTTTTTATTTTAATAAATAGATCACATAAACAAAATCAAATCTCTAAATGATGTCAAAACCACAGTAGAGATATTTAGACACATCCTGTTGATCTATATGTAGTTATTTTTATTGATGTGTGTGTTCGCTCTGGGGGTTCACAGAAAAGCTTCCTCAAAGTTTTTATTGCACAGATCAGACGTTCAGGCATCACTGAGCACAGAGATGCTCAAATCCAGACCTGGACAGCTGCTTCAGCTTCGCTGCTTCGCTGCTCCAACACACCTGGATCAGATTTATGGCTCGGTAGCAGTCCTGTTCAGAGCTGAACCCGCTCCAGAACCGGACCTGAGAGTTGCTGTGTCAGCACAATGCTGCTGTTTTGAAATAAAACTGAAACTTTTTGGTTTTTGTCCAACAGTTTGCACCAGGCTGAGCATTTATTGTTCTGTTGTTTGTCTTTGAGAGAAAGTATCTGATGGGTTTATTAATGACATTAGCATTGTTTTGGCAGTTATTGTTTCCCATAGAAAGAACTCCTTCCCAATCAGAGTTACTCCAACATGCTGAGCCCGGTTCTGGTTCTGATGGAGGCTCCTTCCTGCTGTTCACACATTAAGGACAAGGAGTTTCTCTGTGGATGATGACAGAAATTAAAGCCACTGCCTCATGTAGATCATTTTTTTATAAATTATGTTCGACTGCATTGAATTTGAATCTATGATCAATGCCATTGATTCAGATACATATATTTTATGTGCATTAATTATTTGTTTCTCTTGATTGCACAAAGATTACACATATATTTTTAATTAGTACCTAAATAGCCTAAAATGCAAAAAACATGACCCTTAAATTTATTAAACAAATGTACATATATTTGTATATATTTCCAGATATTTACTGCTTCGAAATGAAAAGTGAATGTTGTGGTCTGGCCTACAATAGATCCGATTGGACCTTCACTTGATGGCTCCACCAATCAGAAGAGGCCTCCCTATTTAAACACAAACCTCCTCACATAAAATTCATCTTTGTCTTTGTTCCCCTTTTTCACCTCTTTGTGTTTAATAGCTTTGAGTCACAGAGGCAGTTTTATAATCTTGATTTGTGTTTCTACGTTTTGTCAGGTAGTTTTAGTTTGGTTTGGTTTTTGTGTTGTAAGCTAAAGCTAAATAAACAAGATGAGCAAAAATGAAACAGAAAAACTTCTACAAATAATGAAGTGTCTACTGTAATGAAAGAAGTTAATTAGTTTTATCATTTAATATTTATTTTAACTTTATCAGATTTTCATGAAACTTTGCATTAAATGATCTATTTTAATAAAAGTTGAAACATGTTCAGAGTTTTCTCTTTCATTTTTATTTTTGTTCCCTGATCAGCAGGGAACTTTCTCTGATCAGCAGGGAACTTTCTCATCGTCATTTAAAAACCGGAGCTGCAGCAGTTTTTCCTCTCTGAGTAAAGGTTCTGCTCCGTTATCAAGTTCACATTCAAAGCATCGGCCAGAATATTCTACAGAACTTCCTGCTTCCTTCTGCTGATTTCATTTTGCAGTTGGACTCAGTACTGACCCAAAATGCTAAAGGAACCAATAACTGGATGGAAAATGGACAAAAAGATGAAAGATGAAGATCTGAAGGCAGATATTTAAGCTCCTCCATGCTATGCTGCATTAATGCAGTAATTCAAGCAAAAGGAGCCCAGACCAGGAACTGAGAGCAGATACTCCACAATGCAGAGCTTCCAGTCGGCCCATCTTTCTGTTGTTGTAAATCATTTCTAAGGGTTGTTATTTCAGGGTTTATTGGAAGCTGAAAGACATGAAAATAAACTGGATCATTTTTAACCGCAAACCTTTGAATTTGAACCATTTCTCAGTGTAGAGAGTTTTAACTGGAGAGTTAAACAGAATCTGCTGAGGGTTCATAAAATGAAACAGACCGATGCAGGCGCAGCCGGGATTATTTGCATATGCAAAACAATATTCAAATTTCAAACAGCTGTGATGTTGAAACTAGAAACAAGCAGCAGGTTGTTAAAAATGGGAAGAAGTTTCTGGGTTAAAATCCTGGATCCCACTTTAAGTGGAGTTTAATTTTCTCACGGCTGTTTGTCAGTTCTCTGGTTTCGCACTGGTGAAGGTCAGCATAACTGAGAATTTACATTTTGCTCTAAAAACTAAAACTCTTCCATGATCATCTCTACTACTAAGATAAATAAAATGATTTTTAATGTTTTAAGAAACAAAATGGTTCATTTATGGTCTGAAATGAAAGTAAGAAAAGGCTGAAAGGAGAGAGGGAACCGGGCCAATAAATGTTCTTTATGATCCAACAATAAACGCAGCTGCTCATAAAAAAGCAGTTTTTGTTTGTTTTGTTCCATTCAGTGATGCAGCTGCTGTTCAGAAACACAATATACCTTCAGTTTCTCTTGACGATGGTTCCTGTTCTGCTAGATAGCAGTTTACCACACAAAGGTCCAAATCATCATGACATTTCATAAAGAGAACAGAATCAGCTTCCTCCTCCAAACTCACCTGCTTTAACCTGAACCGTCGAACAAATCCAAAAAACAAACGATAAAAACACAGAGAAGTTCAGTCAGACATCCTGCTGTTTGTCTCCATGTGTCTGTAGATTAAAGCTGCAACTGGAGGAGAAACTGGCTTAAATGTCACAATCTGAGACGTGTGAAACATGGAATTACACTCCTGCTTTAGGAATGCAGGCTCCACAGCTTTAGCTTTAAGGTGAAGAAATTTTAATTTATGTTGCATATTTTCAGCACAATGCAATAAAAAGTGCTTTACAGGAAGTAAAAGGAAAGAAACAAAATAACAAACCAAAGGAAAGAGCAAAAGAAGAAAAATAATCTAATGTTAACCTAAGTATGTAAACTATGTGCTCCTGTTCAGGGTTGCTAATTCTATTCTGGGTTGGAAGAATAGGAGTCTAAACGTTGATCCAGAGTATATAAACTAGATACTCCTATTCAGTGTTACTGGATAAATATAAGTAAGTATCTTACTATAATTCCTTTCTGGGTTGGAAGAATAAGAATCTAAAAAGTAGCTGCTAAGGTCGTTTTTCTGGATTCTAAATTTGTTCTTATTCCTTTTCTAGGTTAAAAGCACGTACTCCACAGTTTCTAACAAAATAAAAGAAAAAAGAGGAAAGGACACATTGTGGTAAATGACAACATTGAGACAAAACAAAGACATGAGTGAAGGCAGTGACATCACAGGGCCTTGAAACCACATTGCTCAGCCTCCTGGCAAAAGTCCGATAAGATGTTGTTATGAAGGCAGGTCCTTGGGAGCGCTCTGCTCCACTGCTGCATGGATAACAGGAGGTGGGAAGGAGCGTTACGTTTACATGTTCAAGGACATTGGAAATATGCAGCCTTTCCAAGGCAACAGGGGGAAAGCAATTCAAATACAAAATGTCAGCTTGGGTAGATTTTACACCTCAGTCTTCCCTAAAGTCTCTCTGATACGTCTCAGTTCCCAATCATCCAAATTAGTTTGGTCGTTCCGCTGAACCGAAACGAGCAACTTCTCCCAGATCGATTCCATCCCGTTAGTGAGTTTTAGTCCTCAGCCCAGCGAGTCTTGCTGAGACTCGCTGGGCTGCGAGTCTCAGCAAGACTCACATCTAACTTGTGTCTCTGTCCACACCAACAGTCTGAGCGTTCGCTTGTTCGGCCAAAACCGTCACAAACTTGTTGATAAGCCAGGAATCCACAAGCAGGACAGGAGAGCTCTCCTATGCCCGGTCTTCATCGAGAAAATGTCATCAATTGCATCAAGAGACCGGTTGAGCTGATCCATAATTTATAGATTCGGAGGATGTGCAAAGAAAGGCTCCAAAAAATGAGAAAAAGACAAAAACAGAGGAAGCAGGACAGGAAGGGAGACGAGGAAAAAGCATCTGCCTTCACCGAGAGCAAGAGGGAAAAGATTGAATCACTTTTATTTCAATGTTAAATTATATCAATAAATAAACTTTACTTACTGGTGGGTGGTGGATCATAATCTCTAACCTTTGACCTCATCAGCTCAGATATGATGGATCCTCCATGTAGAAACAGTCAGTAAAACAGATGAGCTCCTCCTGCAGCGTGCTCTCTGTTTGTCTCATGGAGACGAACTGAAAGGAGAAGCAGGAAGGTGTTGAGTTTCATTAACCACCGTTGTTATGAAACCAATCCAGCCAATAAAATAAAACCGTTCTGCCCCAGGAGACGAAGGACATGAGGAGCAGAGACTCAAAGCTCTGGTTCAGAGGGGATTTCCTGACACTATTATAATAACAGATCAAATTAGTTCACAAAAACATTAAAAAACTTCAGTCAAAGAAACAACAAATGAGGGAAATATATCAGAGAAAGACCTGAGACCTTTAATTAACCATTTCATACATGAATTATGATCCTTGGTGTCAGGATTATTTCCAGTTGTTTATTTTCTTAAGGTATAAAAAGGTAGGAAAACATTCTGGAAAGAAAAAGTTTATTTTTATGTTTAAGATAAACATAAATATTTTAATTTTATTTTTATTTCTCAGAGTGAGACGTGTTGGTGATTAAATTATCATTAAAATAGGAGACCAGAGACAATATAGTTATTATTTTAACTTTTCATTATTTTTCAAAGATTGTTTATTATTAATATTTTCACTTCATTTTCTATTTCATCCTCACTTTGAAACCATTAATTTACTTTTTACATAATAATAATAATAATGATCCTAATAAAGTTTTCAATAAATGTTTTACTCATTTAGTTTGTTAGTTTCATCCAAGAAGTTTAATGTTTAAAAAAATGAGACATTCTAATATTTATTTGGTTTATTGAAGAACAAAATATTTATGCAACAAAAATAATAATGGAACAATGTTTAGAGAAAAAAACATTTTATTGATCCATTTTTGAGAAACTGGTAGAATATAAAGAACATGTTCAGCTGCGCCCCCTGCTGGGCAGAAGATGCAACTATAAAATCATCATATTTAGGAAAAAAACATGAAATATTAACAAATATGAGAAACAACAAAAGAACATGAAGAAATAATCATTTTGTTAAACTACATCAAACCTCATAAATCATCTATTTATGTAATAAAATTCATTTTCTATAGAAATAAACATTTTATTGTTACATTTCTGAGAAACTGGCAGAATATAAAGAACATGTTTAGCTGCGCCCCCTGCTGGGCAGAAGATGCAACCAGAGTAAAATCTTCACATTTAGTTTAAACAGAAATATGTACAAATGTGAGGAAAAACTAAATATAAAGAACTAATAATGTAAAACTAAATAAAGCTTGTAAATCATAAAAGCTCATAAATCATTAATAGATGTAATAAAAAACTAATTTTCTATAGAAATAAACATTTTATTAATAAAGTTCTGAGAAAGTTTAGCTGGAAGAATATAAAGAATATGTTTAGCTGCGCCCCCTGCTGGGCAGAAGATGAAATCATCCTAAAAATAAAAACAGAAATATCTCCAAATATGAGAATCATCTCAAGAACATGAAGCTGATCATTTAGTGGAACCATCACAGCTCATCAATCATCTTGAGGGTAAAATGGGAGAATGGCATTAAAACAAAACCACTCTCTGAATGTGAATGAAAGCTTTAAAGCTGCAGAGCTTCACTTTCCTCCATTTTCTTCTTGTAGAACATTATGAATCCAGCTGCTGCTGCTGCAATCACAACACAAACCACCGACCGTCTGATGAGTTCAGGAACCACCAGATTCTCTGGAACCAAAGAAGTTCAGGAGTTTAGCTTAAAGACTCATTTATAGTTTACAATGTCAGATTGTGAGCATCTAATGAAGCTGAAATCCTGAGTCCTGTTACCTCCAGTCCTCCTCAGATAGAGCTGAGTTATCATCGTCTCCTCATCATCACTGAGCTCACAGCTGTAAACTCCCTCCTGATCTGAGGTCACATTCTGTAAGGTGAGGCTGCCGGACGCTGAAACATCCCTCACATGTTTCCTCCACTCCTCTGAGATGTTGTAGATGTTTCTGTCAGTCTTGGTCAGGATGATCTGACGCTGGTTGAACCTCCAGACCAAACTGGACGCAGAAATGTTGAAGGAAGTGCAGCTGATTGGAACCTCAGCACCTGAGAAAGCAAAGTTTATGAGTTCAGTTTCAGCAACAAGCAGTTCAAACTGCTTCACATTATGAAACAGTAACCAGTGATGAAATAAGCAATAACATTTAGTCAGAAGGCATCACAATCATCAATGATAGTGAAATATACTGATCAATGTTCCAGTTATTGCTTTAAATATTAATGAACAATCTGATGTGTAACGACTGAAGATGTTTCTCATTGTGTTTCTTTTGGGTCTTTATGATGTGAAGCACTTTGAAAAGCCTTGTTGCTGAAGCTGCTATACAAATAAACTTTGACTGGTTGATTTAAAGGAACTCCGTGTTTTTGGCTCTTTTACACTTTTCTGGAAGTTTCTTCCAGATTTGTGGAGCAAAAAAGCTGAATGCTGCTTTTCCTGGTTCGGATGCAGAACCAGAACCAGAACCAGAACCAGAACCTGAGACGTCTGGAAGGTTGATGCAACACGATCAATTTCCTGATTGATATTTAGTCACTGCTGCAGTGATCAATAAGACTAAACACAAGGATGAGAAGGAAGATTTGAAATATATCAATATATGGAATAAAAGACGATATTTAGAGTTAAGCTTCTAAATATACTCGGCCTGTTAGATGTTGTATTTTAATAAGAATTTGGAAACGTTGATGAAATAAATCAGCTAATGAACAAAGAAAGAATAATTCTTTAACATCAAATATTCTGCAGGAAACTCAGAAATAAAAGTTTCTGCAAAGCAAAAGGACTGGAAATATTAATACAATTATGATATAAATCAGCTGCATTTTATTAATAAGGTTTGATTCTGTCTTTAAGTTATATTGAAATGTTTTTAATGTGTTTAAAAAGTGATTTAATAAAATAAATCAATCAGCTGCATTTTGCAGACTTTCAGTTTGTGATGCACTTGATGTAAAGCTTCACTCTATGGAAACTATCATGGCATAAAGAAGCTTTTTAGAGAAAATTAGTTATTTGCATTTTTCATTATGAAGATTCAAGTAAAAGTCAAATTAAATGTAAAAAGAAACAAAAACAGCAAAGATTTTAAATATCAGAACTTTCTGTTTATCTGCTGACCTGGTTCAGCTAAAGTTGCTCTCCTCTGGTTGCTCCTGGTTCTGATGGTGCAGCTGTAGATCCGATCAGAACCGTCTGGATCAATCAGAGAGCTGCTGATGTCATAAAGCTTCTCCTCAGTCTGATGGACTGTGGTTCTGTTCTGCAGAGTCATGATGGATGGAGGCTCAGTGGACCAGGTGAGTTCAGGTTGAGGGTAGATCCCCTCTGAGCTGCAGGTGGTTCTGTTTCCATCCTGATGGATTCTGATGTCAGAAACTGGAGCTGCAGCAGAAACATGAAATAAATGAACAATTTGTCAGAAGAACAAAATATAAATGTAACTTTTATAATCTTATTTCTATAAAGTTTTTATTTTAAATAAAGTGACCTACCTTCTACCTCAAGGGAAATGAAATTAATATAATAAACGCTATTCATTATTGCATAACAATCATATCCTCCCTCATCATCAACCTTCACTCCTCTCAGCAGCAGGTCGCCGTTTCCTCTGGAGATCTGATCCTCAAACAGAGACGCTCTGGATCTGAAGCTCTCAGAGTAACTGGAGCCTTGATGGTCATAGGAGACAATCAGAGAGGTTCCATGTTTCCATTTTATGTAGATGATCCTGTTCTCAAACTGACATGGTAAAATGCAGTCCTGGTTGATAACACAGGACACGTCGGTTCCAGGTTCTGCAACAATAAAAGCAGAAGAAAGTTGAGTGTAAAAAAAAAAAAGCTCTCTGATATTTTAGAAAATTTTGGTTTAACACAACATGTCAAACAAGCAACACACACTCAAGGACGCACACTGGACCTGGTTATCAGTAAGGGTGTGAATATTTCCAATGTCTCTGTAACTGATGTCGCCTGTCGGATCACTTTGCTGTTATCTTTGAAGGTTCTTTATTCTTTGACCCACTTGGACAAACAGCTACTGTCACAAAACGTTCTTTCACAGAAAACACAGCAGAAACATTTAATCAAATCTACTCTTCCTCCTCACCCTTAAGCTGTAATGATGTAGATCAGTTGTCAGTTGTTTTCAGTCTAAAGTTTCATATATCATTGATTCTATTGCTCCAATTAAAGTAAAGGTTGTGTCTGGTACGAAAAAATCTCCATGGAGAAAAACACAAACAGTTCGATCTGCAAGACAACTCTGTCTCAGAGCAGAACCAAAATGGCGTAAAACTCAACTTCACATTCATAATGACATCTATAAAGAAAGACTACGTAACTATCACTTAACACTAAACATGCAAGGGAGGCTTTCTTTGCAGATGTCATAAACAAAACATCAACAATGCTGGAACTTTATTTGCAACAGTTGACAGGCTCACTAACCCTCCTGTGACGTTTCCACCTGAACTCCAATCTAATGTTGCCTGTAACAAGTTTTCTGATTTCTTTTCAGAGAAAATTCAAAAAAATCAGAGGATTAATCTGCACATCAACTCTAAAGCCAGAACCATTGCTGTACCAAAACAAAACAAATACAGAAAAAATGACCCACTTTCAACTACTTCATTATAAAACCCTAGAAAAAATTATAAGTCAATTAAGTTCAAGCTCCTGCAGTCTGGATGTTATAGATCTATAACTCTAGAACATTTCTTTAAGAAAGTCCTGCCTGTTATTGCTACTGATCTGATCCAAATCGTAACTCATCGCTTACATCAGGTGTTTTCCCCCAGGCCTTGAAACAGCAGTCATCAAACCACTGTTAAAAAAGAACAACCTGGACAAATCACGACTGCAGAATTACAGGCTGACCTCTGACCTCTGACCTCCCATTCATCAGCAAAGTTATTAAATAAATTAAATAGTTTCCTCATGATGACCAACTGCTTTGACACTTTCCAGTCTGGTTTTCGGGCTCACCACAGCACAGAGACTGGCCTAGTCAAAGTATTCAATGATATCCATATAAATACGGACTGTGGGAGAAACACAGTGCTGGTTCTGTTGGACCTCAGTGCAGCTTTTGACATATTACTGAATTGACTGGAGAGTTGGGTCGGACTCTCCGGTTCGGTGCTCGACTGGTTTGAATCCTACATAAAGAACAGGGATTTCTTTGTTTCTATTGGAAACTTCTCATCAAAGAGGTCAAAGGTCACATGTGAGGTACCCAAGGTTCAATCTTAGTACCCTCTTATTTAATATTTATATTCTCCACTAGCTCAGGTCATAACAGGAAATAATATTAGCTACCATAACTATGCGGATGACACTCAGCTCTACATTACGATGTCACCAGGTGACCTTTGACCCCATCCAATCACTGAATAAATGTTTAGAGCAGATAAATGTGTGGATGTGCCAAAACTTTCTCCAGCTGAACAAAAATAAAACTGAAGTCATTATTTTTGGACCTAAAGAGGAACGATCTAGAGTTATAGATCTAGAGTCAATGCACAGCTTCAGTTATTACAACTAAAAACTAGCGATCAGGCCTGAAACCTGGGAGTAGTGATGTACTTGAACCTTGCGAGCCACATAAAACAGTAACAAAATCGGCCTTCTATCACCTGAAGAACGTCTCCAGGATTAGAGGACTAATGTCTCAGCCAGATCTAGAAAAACTCATTCATGCGTTTGTCTTTAGTCGCATTGATTATTGCAACAGCATCTTCACAGGCCTGTCCAACAAATCAATCAATCAGCTGCAGCTGATCCAGAATGCTGCTGCTCCTGTTCTCACTAGAACCAGGAAGATAGAGCACATAACACCAGTTTTAAAGTCCCTCCACTGGCTCCCTGTAGCTCAAAGAATAGATTTTAAAATACTGTTGTTAGTTTATAAATCACTGAACGGCTTCGCACCACAATACATTAAAGATATGCTGTTGTTGTATCAACCTTCCAGACTCTCAGGTCTTCTTCTTCTGGTTCTGCTTTGCATCCCCAGAACCAGAACCAAGAGAGGAGAAACAGCTTTCAGCATCTATGCACCAAAACTTTGGAACAAACTTCCAGAAAACTGTAAAACAGCGGAAACCCTGACTTCTTTTAAATCGCAATTAAAAACACACCTGTTTAGAATTGTTTTTGAAATGTAATATGTAACAATGTATTGTCTATTATATGTTGCATGACTTTGTATTCTTGTGTTTATGATGTAAAGCACTTTGAAATGCCTTGCTGAAATGTGCTATACAAATAAAATTTGATTGATTGATTGATTAAAGGTGTTGAGGAGGAAACCCAGATCCCTCTGAAGGATCATAGAAAACCTGCCTGGAAACAAGATCTCAGCAAATAGTCTCCATGATCCAGATGATGTTCACTGAACCAAAAGTTCTGGTTCTGATAGGAAACAGGGAGGAATCGCTCTGATGCAGAACCTTTGAGCAGCTTTTTGTTTGCTGCTATTTTGATTATTTATCTTTAGTGATCAGATTCAAACTTTTATACCTTTTTCTGTAAATCTATGAAGAAACAAATTATTGCTTAACAGTTAAAACTCTGAACTAAATGTAAATCCTGAACCTGAGTTTGTTCATTCAATTCATTCCTAATATCTATAACTGATCTATAATCAGAATAATTATTATTCTAGAGCTTCATTTGCCTCAGAGTCTGCAGTGAAGCAACTTTTGATTGACTTTATATTTTACTAATATGTTTTCCGTTTTCATTTATTTAAATCATTTTAATTTGTGCTGCCTGTTGCTTTACTGATTCGTTTCTGTAGCGTTTATTTGTGTGAGGCTGGAAGCGCCCCCTGGTGGCTCCGCTGGTTCCCATCAGCTGCCAAACATTTTTATGAATAAATGTTAATAATGATAAACTTTAAGCATCTGGTTTCTGATGCTCAACCTGGAGATTGTTTCCATTTTATTCCTAGTTTAACTGTGTGGATAATAATAATAATAATAATAATAATAATAATAATAATAATAATAATAATAATAATATATATAATAATAATAATAATAATAATAGCACAGCTAGCATGTAGCATTTTCTTTCTTTATTTCTGCATCTTCATAGGAATAAAACTTATAAACCTGCTTTGATCTTTTCCATTATTCTTGACAAACGTTTCCACAAAGTCAGCCTTAAAGTGACCAGATCATTGTCCAGAATGTCAAAGTGTTTTTCCTCACAATACGTTTCACTGTTTACCATCAGTTATAATGTTGGAACAAATACTTTTCATTTACAGGTGGATGCATTTTAAATTAGGCTTCCTCTCATTTTGTCCTGCTGACGGTAAAATGGGGTTTAGAAAGGCATTAAAATAAAATCCCTCTGAATGTGAATCAAACCTCATGAAACCTCTGGATGTTTCATGAGGTTTCAAGAAAAAGTCAAATCAAATGTAAGGAAACTAAAATACCAGCTTATTAAATGATATCAAAACTTTCTGTACATCTGCTGACCTGGCTCATTTAGAACTGCTATCCTCTGGCTCTTCCTGGTTCTGATGGAGCAGAAGTAAATCAGACCTACATCATCATCTGTAACCATCAGAGAGCTTCTGATGTCATAAAGCTTCTCCTCAGTCTGATGGACTGTGGTTCTGTTCTGCAGAGTCATGATGGGTGGAAGCTGAGTGGACCAGGTGAGTTCAGGTTGAGGGTAGATTCCCTCTGAGCTGCAGGTGATTCTGTTTCCTTCCTGATAGATTCTGACTGAAGAGACTGGAGCTGAAAATAAGAGAATAAAAATGAACAATTTCACATCAGAAAACATCCCACAACAACAAAATACAAACCATCCAAAGCTTCTTTGAATGAAAGGTTTTCAAATGAAGATGTCCTACCTTCTACCTCAAGGACAACAGAACGTCTATAATAGATGCCAGTTGTAAAAACATGACACTCATATGTTCCCTCATCATCAACCTTCACTCCTCTCAGCAGCAGGTCGCCGTTTCCTCTGGAGATCTGATCCTCAAACAGAGACGCTCTGGATCTGAAGCTCTCAGAGGTTCTGATGTTACCCTGGTCATAACTTACAATCCCTGATTTTGGTATTTCACGCTCCCATGTCATGTTGGCAACCCGATTCCTGAACCGACATGGTAAAATGCAGTCCTGGTTGATAACACAGGACATGCTGGTTCCAGACTCTGCAACAATAAAAGCAGAAGAAAGTTGAGTGTAAAGGTGTTGAGGAGGAAACCCAGATCCCTCTGAAGGATCATAGAAAACCTGCCTGGAAACAAGATCTCAGCAAATAGTCTCCATGATCCAGATGATGTTCACTGAACCAAAAGTTCTGGTTCTGATAGGAAACATGGAGGCATTGTGTAGCAATGTGGCCATTTTCAGTTATTTTCCTGGTTTCTACATTTGCTGATATATTTATTTTGGGTTTATGTTGAGTTGCATGTGTGCTGATTCCTTTTGCGGCTGCTGTCTCTGGAGACGTCCACTTCACTTCACACAGCTGTTGCCCTCAGCTGCAATGGGGGCAACCCAGAAATGGGGCAATAAAAGGAGCAGCTGAGCGAGAGGCCGGGTAGAATGAGAGACGCAGCAGCTTACAGAGCAGCAGGTCTGGCAGAACGCAAAGCAGGGAGAGAAACACGCATCCGATCCGGGGACGTGGAGCCGGAAGCAGTGGATCACACACAGCTGGATCCAGAAACCTCTGGATGTTTCATTTTCTAATCTGCATCACAGTAATACTGTAATGCTTACACTAATACTGTAATGCTTACAGTAATACTGTAATGTTTACAGTAATACTGTAAACATTACTGTAATACTGTAATGTTTACAGTATTACTGTAATGTAAACATTACTGTAATGCTGTAATGTTTACAGTAATACAGTAAACATTACAGTAAAGTCAAATTAAATGTAAACAAAAAACTGTTTATTAAATGATATCAGAACTTTGTGTCCATCTGCTGACCTGCTCTGGTTTAAACTTGTTTTCCACCAGTTCCTGCTGGTTCTGATGGTGCAGCTGTAGATCCGATCAGAACCGTCTGGACCCGTCAGAGAGCTGCTGATGTCATAAAGCTTCTCCTCAGTCTGATGGACTGTGGTTCTGTTCTGCAGAGCCGTGTTGGATGGAGGCTCAGTGGACCAGGTGAGTTCAGGTTGAGGGTAGATCCCCTCTGAGCTGCAGGTGGTTCTGTTTCCATCCTGATGGATTCTGATGTCAGAACCTGGAGCTGCAAACAACATGAGAAAATAAAGAAACTATTAAGCAGATAAATGTCCTGGAACCAAAACATTAAAACTCAAAATATGAATCAATAAAATGTTTTCAGGTTAAAGTGTTTTACCTTCTAGTTCAAGGGAAACATAATGTTTATGATAGAAGCCATTTATTTCTACAATGCACACATATCGTCCCTCATCATCAACCTTCACTCCTCTCAGCAGCAGGTCGCCGTTTCCTCTGGAGATCTGATCCTCAAACAGAGACGCTCTGGATCTGAAGCTCTCAGAGTAACTGGAGCCTTGATAGTCATAGGAGACAATTAGAGATGATGTTTCATATAGATACCATTCCATGTAGTTGATCCTTTTCTCAAACCGACATGGTAAAATACAGTCCTGTTGATAACACAGGACACGTTGGTTCTGGACTCTGCAACAATAAAAGCAGAAGAAAGTTGAGTGTAAAGGTGTTAAGGAGGAAACCCAGATCCCTCTGAAGGATCATAGAAAACCTGCCTGGAAACAAGATCTCAGCAAATAGTCTCCATGATCCAGATGATGTTCACTGAACCAAAAGTTCTGGTTCTGATAGGAAACATGGAGGAATCGCTCTGATGCAGCAGGAGAATCATTAAAAATATTCCTGGTTTATTTATGTTCCTGCTTAATAATAAACATGTTAAAATATTTTATAACATTTCCAGTGATTAATGAAAACATATTTCTTGACATTCCATCAATAAATCTGTTATCATTGATCAGCTTTCTGTTTGCTTCTATTGATTATTTATCTTTAATAAAATCCAAACCTCGGAGGCTCTTTGCTGTTACGGCCACAAAGGGCTCAACATATATGAGAAATATTTAACATATTTAAGGCAAAATGAGGATTAAAAACATCATTTTATGTCAAAACTCTCTTGACTGATTCTTTTGTTTCAGCTTCTTTTGGTTTTCTGTGGAGGAACAGAGAGAATTAAATCCTCAGTTCCTCAAAGAAAATCCCAAAGTATGAACAGAAAGCTGGACCCGGTGAGCCGACCAAAAAGAACCAAACGGTCCAGCAGGGGGCCGACCCGATGCAGGCCGTGGAAGCCCTGCTGCACCCGGAATAAGGATCCACTGCAAGAAAAGTATTGAAAACAGGACAATCGGTCCCACCAGGCCAAAATCACAACGGACAAAAAACAGCAAACAAACAAAGAGCTGATAAAAACAAGCGCATGTCAGGCTGGAGACGTGGCATCCATCAGAACGGGGCTGTTTGGTGGTGCTGGACTTTACCTGGTCCAACCTATTCACAGGCTGACCAACAGCCACCGATTAACAAGACCAGATTACAAAAGAGGAATTATACAAACTCCAAAGTTTATTAAACAGAAAGTCATTCAACTAAAGTCAATACAAAACAATCCAGAAAAAATAACAATAATTATAATGTGCCTGAGGGACATAACATCTGCCATCCCCCTAATCTTTAGCTCCTTCCTTCATTTATCAGCTTCAGGTTTGGACTATTGCTGCTCTGCTATAAAATATAAATATTACTGTGAGATAGAAAAAACCTGTTTGCAGAAATAAAATATTAGTTTTAACCTGAAACTCCTGTTAGTAATTCTGGATTCATCTGTGAAATAATAAAATAACATTTATTCAATACGGCAAAGAAAAAACATTAAAATGTTTTCTGTGTTTTAATTTTCTAAATTTTCTCACAAACAACAAAATCTGAATTGTGAGATTATTAGTCAGAGGGAGACATGTTGGTGAGTAAATGATCAGAAAAATATGAGACCAGAAATAACAGAGTTACTGAATCATGTTTCAATATTTATTATTAATATTTTCACTGCATTCCCTGTTTCATCCTCACTTTGAAAGCAATAATCTGTTCAAATCTGAATGATAATAAAATAAAGGAAGCAATAAAAATTTTACTCACTTTCTTCTCTATCAGCCCACACAAACGGTAAAAATATTAAAAACAAGAATCTCCTGGTTCTGATCATTTTACTCCTAATTTTCACCATTTGCTGCAAAACTATGAAGAAGCAAATTATTGTTGAAACACTGAACTATATAGATCCTGCAGCTCAGTCTGATTAAAATGTTAATAATTCTTAGAAAATGTCTGTAATCCAGATTAACTCTGATGACATGCAGCTTCATTTATCTCAGAGTTTCTTCTGGTTGGAAGGAGGAAGTTTGTTCTGCTAAATGTTCTGATCAGCTTTCATGATAAAACTCTGGAGGAGGAAATAGATTTAGATTAATTAGAGATGATGATGAGTTTTCAACTGTCAGATTAATTCAGTAAATATTAATGAATAATCTGCATTATTTATCCTTCTGCACTGACTTAATCCACTGATATATTGATAAATAATCACTCTGATTTATCTATTAACTCTAAATTAAAACAAAATGAAGAGTTAATATTTTTCTCTATTACTCTTATAAATAAGACTCAGGAACATTAATCTGCTAATCCCACAAATTTACCATAAAAATATATTTGAAAACTAGGAAACATTGTTCAGTTTCCTGCAGGGTCTGTAATTAGTTTATCATATTTTAATTGAAAACCAGATATTGACAACATTTTCCATTCAAAATCCTTTTTTCCTGCTAAATCCTGAATAAACATTAGAACTCAAAAAAAAATATTTATAGTTTTTAATTTGATTTTCAGGTTTCTAACCAACAGATCAGATCAAAGTTTTATTCCATGATGATTGGCTAACTCCTTTTAGCACAACTTGAACACAGTGAGAGTTTTTCCAACCCACCAATCAGATCATTTCAGGAGCAGACATGAACCCAGTGGACCGAGAGAAGAGCCGCTGTCCTCCATCGCTGTTAGCACTGGAGGCTTGTGCGTCACATTTACGGCCGTACCAGAAACCAGGAACACAAAGCAAAGTTCCTGAATAAACAAATGCAGCTCATAGTTATTAGAGGAAAATATGAAACGTTCATAAGCACAGAGATCACATGTTGAGTTTTTAGCTCATTCTGATACTCAGAATAGTCAGATTGTATTATTTCTCTGATTTTAACAGTAATCCTAACCCTAACCCTAATCCTAACCCTAATCCTAATTTAACCCTAATATTAACCCTAATTTTATAATTATTTTAGAATAACTGAAACTTTCTCTATTTATGTCATTTAAAAACTGGTGTGTAATTTATAACCTGCACTTTAAAACAAGCTGAAAGTGACTCAGAGAGTTTGACATTTTCTGAAACTATCACTATCAGCAGCCAGAGGAGCCTGTTCAGTGACAGACTGCTGCTTCCCAAGTGCCGGACCAATAGATTCAAGAACTCCTTTGTCCCCCACGCCTTCAGACTGTACAGCTCCTCACTGGGGGGTCGGAGGTGACACAGGACAGAGGGAAGAAGGAGTAGTGACCCCTTTGTACATTTCTGCAAACATCCATACTTATCAGGCCAAACCATATAGTGCAATATCATATCACTGATCAATCTATCTGCCAAATTCCTATATTTTCTTTGGTGTTGTATTTATTAGGCCCGAGCAGCTAAGCGCTGCGAAGGCCTATTGTTTTCCTACTGTTTCTTATTAGGCCCGAGCAGCTAAGCGCTGCGAAGGCCTATTGTTTTCCTATTGTTTATTATTAGGCCCGAGCAGCTAAGCGCTGCGAAGGCCTATTGTTTTCCTATTGTTTATTATTATTATTAGGCCGAGCAGCTAAGCGCTGCGAAGGCCTATTGTTTTCCTACTGTTTCTTATTAGGCCCGAGCAGCTAAGCGCTGCGAAGGCCTATTGTTTTCCTATTGTTTATTAGGCCCGAGCAGCTAAGCGCTGCGAAGGCCTATTGTTTTCCTACTGTTTCTTATTATTAGGCCCGAGCAGCTAAGCGCTGCGAAGGCCTATTGTATCTGTACTGTTTATTATTAGGCCGAGCAGCTAAGC